TAATGTTTGATTGTAATTTTTAATGAATGAATAATTGTTTTTTTAATGAATGATTGTTTGTTTTAACTTGCACTTCTTCTGAATGGACATTTATCCTTAAGTTTTAGCAAACTTGCGTTTGGTCTGGCTCCATTCTGCTATGTATCGCCACTTTTCCCATCTAATTAATTCCCGATGGGAAAAAATCAAGTCCCACCCAACATATTTTCTTGTTTATTGTCATGTTTCACTTGAAAATACATCACATTGCACAAGTAAAATGGGTTGCAAAAAGCAGTGCATATCGATTTTAACTATGAAGAAACAAAGACCTGCAGTCTTCTTAGAGGAATTACTTTAGGACCGAAACATCACATAAACAATTCACAAACACAAGCGAACCACAACCTGAATGTAACTACCCATCCATCCCAGCTCTTTTACCTAGTTCTTCACCAATCCTCAGGCGGTGGCTTGACTACTCATCACCTTCTAGAAATACCCAATGAAAAACAGCAGAGGAAGAGAGAAAGAGAACTGCTTTTCTCATATGTCTTCATTGTTGGCGCGGCCCCAGTGAAAACTGTGTGTTTAGGCTGATGGAGTTATAAATGTTCTTTCTGGATGAAACCCAGGAAGGCTTTTTAAATATGTTATTAATGGCTATAAGGCCTGTATTTGTTGGGAGAAGAAACTGTTTGAGTTGGACAGATGAGAGAGCAAAACAATCCGAAATGATAAAAATACATGTAGGTTCAGATTCGCATTCAGTATTTATTTCAGATGTATGGCCCATTGTGCCGTGCTTCTCAGAAACAGGCGATTTTCCATTCGTCCCTCTGAGATATCATATTTCTGCTATGTTTGGAAGATTATGTTTTTTTGATTCCTCAGCAGTTTGTTGGAAATTTGCTCTTTAATTACATTGTATAATTTTCCTAGTATTATCTCTACTTGAGTATTCACAGGCCGGCATGTTTTCAGTTAAAATCACTGTGCGGCTGAGGATATGATTTCATTCAGATCGTTGACTTCACTGATGTTTAGTTAAACTGCCGCAGAGCTGAGCAGGCTTTATTTTTCCTACCTGCGTTTTACTGCTGAGGGGGACACAGATCACAGCCTACGGCACATCCTGTAAGGAAACATGGGGAAGGAGTTTCAGGAGGGCAGGTGTGGAGGTGGAAGAGGCAGACGGAGCTGTGCTTAGGAAACCGTTCCAGTGAGGTTGTTTCGAAAGGGAACATAGTCAGAACAGCCCTTCACTGCTGACAGGAAAGCTGTCGTTTTCTCAGGTGTGAACATTGACATCTTTTTTCACATCACTTTTAGGGACTTCATGTTTTAACATGAGGTCACATGAGGTATTCAGAATTGATGTTGATTTATAAATGTGAGTTATGGATCCATCAACCATACCACCTCAGCAGTGCCACAAACTGATCACCTCCATGCCACGCCGAATTGAGGCAGTAATTAAAGCAAAAGGAGCCCCTACCAAGTATTGAGTACATGTACAGTAAATGAACATACTTTCCAGAAGGCCAACAATTCACTAAAAATGTTTTTTTTATTGGTCTTATGAAGTATTCTAATTTGTTGAGATAGTGAATTGGTGGGTTTTTGTTAAATGTGAGCCAATATCATCACAATTAAAAGAACCAAAGACTTAAACTACTTCAGTCTGTGTGCATTGAATTTATTTAATACACGAGTTTCACAATTTGAGTTGAATTACTGAAATAAATGAACTTTTCCACGACATTCTAATTTATTGAGATACACCTGTATATACCTCATACACATTCCATGTGTATGAGGTATATTCATACCTCATACACATGGAAATACTTTTTGAAAGTTTAAAAGCTTACATTTTTTAGCAGCAGCCATAAAAAATTAAAACAAATTAAATAGCGATAAGCTGGATTTAGTTTTTATTTACTGATTTATTTATTTTAGGATTCAAATCTGTATCCCTGTGGGAGCACCACAGCTCTATTGTGCTGTAAACATGCGCTACTGCTACACCACGACTCCAACAGTAGTGGTTTATTGAATCATTGATTCTAATGAGACTCCTTGTCTCGTGTCTTTGTTATTTAGACCTGTAGCACATTTGTGGTTTATCTTTTGATTTTGGTAAGCATTTCATCAGTGTAGTGGCCTTTTAGTGGTTGCACAACAGTAAATAACTTCAGGCAAGAGCTACATTGGTGTTTATACATCTGTGGTGACTTCACTTGGATATTTGACAAAGTTGATAATTAACATGAGTAACAGGAGTATACTTTAACGATGCTTCAGTATTGTTAATAACTTTCTTTCATCTGCAAACATTGGAAATAATCATTATTGATGGATCCATAACTCACATTTATAAATCAACATCAATTCTGTATTTTGAGAGTCAAAACACCTTAATGCACACCATTTACCTTTATTTACAAACAGTCTTAAAGGTACAGTAGCAAATATTTATTTGCTATTAATGCCATTAAAGTGGCCTTTAACAATCTTCAGTTGAAAGCTTGTGGCATAAACCATCTTGCACAGTTGGCACTTGTTTATTCACATAAAATTTGTATGGTGGATTTGTTACTTCTCTTCTGCGGTACAGTGTGTATTGGGTTTTGGTTAGATTAACAGTCATGTGATTAAGTGTCAATATACATTACTGTTCAAACGTTTGGGGCTAATTAAGAAAATATTACTTTTATTCATATTGGATGTGTTAAATTGATCATTTGTGATGGCAAATACTTTGTTCCAAAAAAAATCTGTTCTTTTGAACTTTGTATTCATCAAAGAATCCTGTGGGGAAAAAAGTATCACACTTTTCACAAAATTGTTAAGCAGTTTTAAACACTGATATTAATAAGAAACGTTTCTTGAGCTCCAAATCAGCATTTTAGAATGATTTCTGAAGGATCATGTGACACTGAAGACTAATAGCTGCTGAAAATTCAGCTATGCTTTCTCAGGAATACATTACATTCTAAAATATATTAAAATATAAACAGTTATTTTAAATTGTAATAATATTTCACTGTATTTTTACGGTATTTTGGATGAAATAAATGAAATAAAATACTTCATTCAAAAACTCAAAAAAAATTTGTACCAACCACAAACTTAGTGTATAATAAACATTATAAACAATAAACATTAGTGAATATTTATTAAACCATGTGCCTTTTTTCATGAATAGGAAAAGTTAGTGTTTGATAAGTGAAATGGTGAGCTATATTTATGCTAGACACCATTCACATCAATGTGGTGAATTTAGTGGGTATGAAACCAGGGCAGAGAGCCGTTTACTCTCTAAACTGACACGGATGCTTAAAGGACGGCAGTAAAGTCAGACAAAGCTCATGTTGTGTCTGCTTTGGCGGAGTGTGTTTGTCTGGCAGGTCGCTCCAGCAATCACCAGCACCCAGTGGGGGACTTTGAGTATCCAACAACACACTGCAGTGTTCCTGTGTTCCTCTGCTTTTTGGAGAAGCAAGGTGGAACTTCGCTCTTTTTTGGTGACTCGGGTGGCTCGTTGGTTTTGGCGGGTAACGCTGAGGATACGTGCATATGTGTATTCATTTATAGCTGGCCTCTTTCACTGCAGTTACATAAATAAACAGCACCCACAGACCGACAGACTGCACACTTTTGTCTCAGCCTGGATTCCTCAGTGGCAGAGATGTGATATTCCTGTGGCTCCTGTGGCTCCGAGCCAGACAGACAGTCATATACCCCCACACGGATGCAATCATGTGTTCGCCCGCGCTGCATTCGTTGGCCATGCTGAGTATAAATAAATTCAGACAGGCTTTGCCTGTCTCTGCACCGGTGTACCCTTACTCTCTACTACGCTGGCCTCTATAAATAAACACTCTCATCACAGGAAGCAAACATTGGAGGCTGCCCTATACTCTTTGGCTGGGCAGAGACTGAGGTAGGACAGGAAGAAACAGAAAAAGTTGTAATGGTTACATGTGTGTATGTATATCCAGTTTTGAGGCCATTCCCAGCAGTAACTTCTACTAAATAACTCACAAAGTGTTTTACAATTCAAATGAACCATTGTACGGCCGGGTGTGACGTTGAGAGGGGGTTTTCAATTGCGGCTACGACTGTGGAGTAGGTGGTTATGGCATTTCACCTGTTCCAAAGGCTTGTTGTGTCTGTGTAGGTGGATTTATTGGAGAGTTAGTTAGATCTGTGGTATATAGTAGTCGATAGAAGAATCAATGACAATAAGAGCGTGTGAGATAAAGAAAAGGAAAATTCTTTTAAAAGTTTAAAATGCATGTGCCAAGGTCTTAGAAATGTAGTCTTTTCCTCACATCTAGAATATGTGCAGGCAGGGCACACCTGTTAATCATTATTTTCAGGGTTTTAAATATAAAGAGTATTTATTGATTTATTTGTTTGTTTGTTTGTTTGTTACATCATGAACACGGACAACCTATTAATCATTATTTTTAGGTTTTTAAATATATTTTATTTATTATAAGTATATATTTAATTTATTATACTTTTATTATTAAATACACGTATTTTTGTTTATTTATTTTTTGTATTTTTACAAATATTCTAATATCATTACTAAACTTGTTATAAATATTGAAAGGATCTGATAGTTTAAGACTTTTATTAATTGAGAGTTAGGGTGTATTTTTCTGTTTATCTTCCTCCATATTTCTGTTTTTTTTTTTTACATGTTCTTTATTTTTTATATAATATACATATATTTAAAAAATGGTCTAACATTTTTTACATATTTTTTTAATTAATTGATATGGACTAAACAAATGTGCGGAATGTCATTGATTCACATCACTCGGGCCTTAGACCATTTTTCTTGTAATTTCCCTTCTAAATGTACTTTGAAAATTCAACAAAAGTCTTCAGGTTCTTTCTCATCTTTATTTTTTTTTTCGCTTTTTGCAATATTCATTGCTATTGTGCTGTGCATATGCCATAATAACCATTACAACTATGTGTGTGTGTATGTGTGCAGGTTTATCTGAAGGCACCTATGATCCTGAATGGAGTGTGTGTGATCTGGAAAGGCTGGATTGATCTTCAGCGTCTGGATGGGATGGGTTGTCTGGAATATGATGATGAGAGGGCACAGGTACAGACTACAGACAAACCACCATGTGCTATAAAACTGTTCCGTGCCTTACATACATCAGAAATGACTGACCACTGCCTGGCTTCCTGTCTTTTTGTGTGTTTATACAGCAGGAGGATGCTCTAGCCCAGGCAGCCTTTGAGGATGCCCGCAGAAGGACCCGTGATTTTGAGGACAGGGATCGCTCGCACCGTGAGGATATGGAGGTGAGAATGGAGTGAGTGAGGATGTGTGTATGAGAGCGTGAAGTTTCGATCAGTTAGTGCATGCTGAAAATCCGATATGTTCTTATGTTTAAAGGAGTTCTCGTCTGAGTGTGTTTGTTTGTATACTATGTGTGTGCATATGTGTACATGTGTTTTCAACTTGTGCATGTACAATACTTCTTTATGTGCTTTTTATGCATAATCTTCTTTACCTAATTCCTCTTGCTAATATTTTGATTGACAGCTACTGCCAAAATATTTGATGCTTTAAGGAGCAGTTCACTGAAAATACATTTTTTTTAGTAGCTTCCGAGCAGGCAGATGATTAAGTGGTGCCACCGGCATCTTTTCTTCTTGTCAAGCTAAAGTGGTAGGGTGAATCTCACAAAATCATGTCTAGCTCATATCTCACCCCAAAATAAAAGCATAATATTTGGGACAAAGGAAATGAAGCCTATTATTAGGATATTTCTGCAATGTCACATTATTTATTCATGACAATTAAGCACATTTTCCCCAAAATATGTCATTACTGTAATGCATCCGGACATTTGACTTTTGAGGGATTTTTTGTAATTCTTATTATTGTCAAAGATGATTAATATTTTAAGAAATTGCAGTTTTTAAAAGAACAATCAGAGTATAAGTGATATCTAAATATTTTTTATATTAATTAAACTATTGATTATATATATTTATATGTTACAATAATGAGAATAATATATTTTTTAATTATGTGATTAATTGTCATGGAAATAATGTAATTATTTCTTCTTTTTTTTTTGCATCCTTGATTTGGTAATAAAATCAGTTAAACCTAAAGGGTTCCATTAATTCTGTAAGTCGTGTAAGAATTTACTAAACAGCATTTCAACAAAATCTCTGAAATTCTTTGACATTTTTACATGAAAACAGTAGTTGTGAATTCTGTCTCCTTTCAAAATTGCACTGCAGGAGCAGGTAAATAAATGCCACCTCAACAACATTTCTGTCTGTTCCCTGATGTCTTGAGAGCTCTTGACGTAGCTAAACAGCTTGTCTGGGGCAATACTGATTTGATCGCTTGTCATTTAGCAGATGCCGATGGCACAGCTCAGTCATTTAATAACTCAGGAGGTAAGACAACAATTTAGGATTTTATGTAGTGAACTGCTGCCTTGATTATCTGTTTACTATAAATCATTCAGAACAAAGGCATAATGAAGAAGGGCATGTGTGTTTCTTAGGATTTTGTATGTTTGCATGCATATATGTGAGTTTGTGTGTACGTGTTAGCTTTTGAAGTGCTTTACTCATGGCTTAGTGCATGAAGTGTCTTTGCATTGTAAGTCCTCAAATATAATCATTCTACAGTCAATCCAAACTGCACTCTTAAGATGAAAACCAAATTGTGTTTTTTAGGACCCTGTGGCATCAAAAATCTGGGACTGATGGCCTTCAAGGACCAGGGTCTGTCTCCTCTGCTTCTCTCTATCCTTGTGTCATGCACTAAACCGTGTCTGTCTGTAAGTGTGTGTACGTGAGTGTGTGTTTCACAAGAGCATGTGCATGAAAGAGCATCTCTGTGTCTTTATGTATTCTACTCTGTGTGTGTGTGTTTACTGTGTCTGTATGTGTTAGTGGATACATGTACTGTAGGTGTGTGTTTCTATAAACGAGTGAGATTTCAGGCTTCTATAAGCAACTTTGGGCTGTGGGTCTTATACAGTAATCGCTAAAAAACGTTCTACCGGCGCAATAGACCCCCAGCTCGCTCTTCTCAGACCTCTGTAATGGAGACCAGACTTCTCTCCCAAGATTCCTCACTGCCCCACCCACCCACTCGAGCATGTGCATGAAAGAGCATCTCTGTGTCTTTATATATTCTACTCTGTGTGTGTGTCTATATGTGTTAGTGAGTACATATACTGTAGGTGTGTGTTTTTTTTAAACGAGTGAGATTTCAGGCTTCTATAAGCAACTTTGAGCTACGGGTCTAATATTGTAAGCACAAAAAAAAAACGTTCTACTGGCACGAGAGACCCCCAGCTCGCTCTTCGCAGACCTCTGTAATGGAGACCAGACTTCTATCCCAAGATTCCTCACTGCCCCGCCCACCCACTCCCCTGCTGCAAAGCCCTCTGGGAGCTCTCAGGCACAGCTTGGCAGCACATGACCAGAAAGATCCCCCTTATGAACCGCCGTCTTTATATTCCTCCCTCCTAATCTACACCCTCAGGCGTTCCTTTACACACTCTACATCCTCTCTTCCAAATTTTAAGAAATTGCAGTTTTTAAAAGAACAATCAGAGTATAAGTGATATCTAAATATTTTTTATATTAATTAAACTATTGATTATATATATTTATATGTTACAATAATGAGAATAATATATTTTTTAATTATGTGATTAATTGTCATGGAAATAATGTAATTATTTCTTCTTTTTTTTTTGCATCCTTGATTTGGTAATAAAATCAGTTAAACCTAAAGGGTTCCATTAATTCTGTAAGTCGTGTAAGAATTTACTAAACAGCATTTCAACAAAATCTCTGAAATTCTTTGACATTTTTACATGAAAACAGTAGTTGTGAATTCTGTCTCCTTTCAAAATTGCACTGCAGGAGCAGGTAAATAAATGCCACCTCAACAACATTTCTGTCTGTTCCCTGATGTCTTGAGAGCTCTTGACGTAGCTAAACAGCTTGTCTGGGGCAATACTGATTTGATCGCTTGTCATTTAGCAGATGCCGATGGCACAGCTCAGTCATTTAATAACTCAGGAGGTAAGACAACAATTTAGGATTTTATGTAGTGAACTGCTGCCTTGATTATCTGTTTACTATAAATCATTCAGAACAAAGGCATAATGAAGAAGGGCATGTGTGTTTCTTAGGATTTTGTATGTTTGCATGCATATATGTGAGTTTGTGTGTACGTGTTAGCTTTTGAAGTGCTTTACTCATGGCTTAGTGCATGAAGTGTCTTTGCATTGTAAGTCCTCAAATATAATCATTCTACAGTCAATCCAAACTGCACTCTTAAGATGAAAACCAAATTGTGTTTTTTAGGACCCTGTGGCATCAAAAATCTGGGACTGATGGCTTTCAAGGACCAGGGTCTGTCTCCTCTGCTTCTCTCTATCCTTGTGTCATGCACTAAACCGTGTCTGTCTGTAAGTGTGTGTACGTGAGTGTGTGTTTCACAAGAGCATGTGCATGAAAGAGCATCTCTGTGTCTTTATGTATTCTACTCTGTGTGTGTGTGTTTACTGTGTCTGTATGTGTTAGTGGATACATGTACTGTAGGTGTGTGTTTCTATAAACGAGTGAGATTTCAGGCTTCTATAAGCAACTTTGGGCTGTGGGTCTTATACAGTAATCGCTAAAAAACGTTCTACCGGCGCAATAGACCCCCAGCTCGCTCTTCTCAGACCTCTGTAATGGAGACCAGACTTCTCTCCCAAGATTCCTCACTGCCCCACCCACCCACTCCCCTGCTGCAAAGCCCTCTGGGAGCTCTCAGGCACAGCTTGGCAGCACATGACCAGAAAGATCCCCCTTATGAACCGCCGTCTTTATATTCCTCCCTCCTAATCTACACCCTCAGGCGTTCCTTTACACACTCTACATCCTCTCTTCCAAAATCAATCATGCCAAGGTCTCTTTTTTAAATAGATCTGGCTGCTTATGAAAATCAAATTTCTTACTCATTGCAGTCAGGCGATCTGTGACTCACGGGCCAAATGTTTTTCCCTCAAAGTCACTGTGAGCGGTGGAAAAATGAAACCCTGTAATTATTCTATAATTCATGCTTTCTCATCCCAGCAGTGTGGAGTCTGACCCTCGTTCAGAGCTTGTTTTCGAGCTGCACTGGCTTTATTTTGGAAAGCGAATAATAACACTTGAGCTCGGATCGAACCTCTAGCCTTCGCGTCACATATTGTACGACGCCGCACATAGCAGAGGTTCAATATTAAACTCCACAATGCATAGGAACAGCTTTTTAACATTATAAATGTATTTACTGCCACACTTGATCTATTTAATGCATCCCTGCTTAATAAAAGTATTAAGTTCTTTTAAAAATTCTTACTAACTCCAAACTTTCAAATTATAAACACTTAAAAATAAAAGTTCCAAAAAGGGTTTTTCACAATGATGCTGTAGAAGAACCATTTTTGTTTCCCCAAAGAACCTTTCAGTGAAAAGATCTTAAAATAACCGTTGTTTCTTACTGAAAAGAACATTTTAATAATCTAAAGAATCTTTTCCACTAAAAACCTTGTGTGGAATGCATAGGTTCTATGGATGTTCTTCACGGAACCATCAGAACCTTTATTTGTAATAGTGTAATATATAAATAATACTGCAGTGCAAACAAACCTAGCTGTGTGAACTGAAGTCCGATCTTTGTTCAGAGCTTGTTTTTGAGCCCCGTGTTTTGGTCGCCTTTATTTTGGAAAGCGAATAATACTTGAGCTCGGATCGTACCTTGAGCCATCACGCTGTACAATGGTCACATAGCTGTGGTCAAATCTCAAACTCCATCATCTGTAATTGGATAAAAACCAGCACAATAGCAGTCTGGATCAGCAGAAAGCCAGCGTTTTCTGGGAAAGTGGGCCAGGTTCATTTCAAAAGGACGAACAATGCATTTAGAGACTTCAAAATCACTTATGACCTCACCGAGAGACAAAAAGGAACATTTGCTGTGCGTAAACACTTATTTGTCCTCTCTCGGCGTGTCTTAATGCGGTTCCGTCACTGTTTGTCTATGCAGAGAGTCCAAGGGGGCGAATCAAAGCTGAAAGATATCGAAGACTGTAATGGCCTTCTGCGTGATAGATGGTAAAGAGATGGATGAAAAATAGATAGGCCATTTTTCATGAAACCCAGGCCTTTACTGCAGGTGGGATTAGAGCATGAGTGATGTTGGGCCAGTGAAAGTATTAATATATCATTAGTATTGATCTTTTTCATTAGCAGCGCTGTCTGCCCAGCAAAATCTAAGCACTATTGACTTGTGGTACAGGAGAGTGCTTCAGCTGGGCTCTGTATGATCGATGCTGTGTCCTCTCATCCACACAAACACACTTTTTCAAAGCTTAAATACTACAGAGCAAACATAAAAATGCTTTTTGTGCTTTATAAAGCCCTATAGATATATACAACATCTGGTTTTGTGCAGCATTTTAATTATTTACTGCCTTGCTGAACAAAAAAAAAAAAGAAAGAAAGAAACTTAAACTTAAACCTAGCTGATTTGTTGGGATTACCTGGTCATCCTGGTCTGTTGGCTGGTTTTTACTGGGGTTTTAGGTATTTTTCAGCTGGTTATGGTGGTAGACCATCTGGCTGCCCAGCAACTTATGAGACCAGCTGAAATCAGCTAAGACTATATATTAGTGCTGTCAAACGATTAATCGCGATTAATCGCATCCAAAATAAGAGTTTTTGTTTGCATAATATATGTGTGTTCTGTGTATATTTATTATGTATATATCAATACATACACGTGTGTATATATTTCAGAAAAATTTTGTTTATATATTAAATATATTTATTTATAATATAAATTATATGAATATAAATATAGTCATGTAAATACATGTAAATATTTTCAAAATATATACTGTATGTATGTGTATTTATATATACATAATAAATATACACAGAACACACATATATTATGCAAACAAAAACTTTTATTTTGGATGCGATTAATTGTTTGACAGCACTAATATATATATATATATATATATACTTCTTCTAAAGTAAGAAAAAGATGTTCACCAAGGCTGATAAGAAATAGAATAAAAAGATTAATATTGCCAAATATTATTACAAATTAGAATAACTGTTGTCTATCTTAATTTATTTTAAAATGTAATTTATTCCTGTGATGGCAAAGCTGAATTTTCAGCAGCCATTACTCCAGTCTT